AGATATTGTATCTTACTTTTTCTTTGTAAATTTTAATTGATGATTAAATGTGTGTTCGATAATTAATATAATTTCAGCTTTTGTGTTTTTAGTACATTTTGATGGTAAAAAATTAGATTTTAAAATGCCTATTCCAGAAAGCCTATGCAGTCATTCAGGCGTAATGAACGGTAACCTACGTCTGTTGACAACAGAGAGCACCACCGTGCATTGTGACGACACGACTGTGGTACTCTATACAGTCCACCCCCTAATCCGAGACCACCTTTGAGGTGGTCTCAGGGTTCGGGAAGTTTGTGTTAATAAACTGAATGAAAATCTTTTCCCAGTCATTTCCTACAAGTAAGTCTACTTGTTTAAATGTAACTAAACTTTACAACTTTACACAATAACCTGAATTTAATTTTCCCAACATAATAAACCGATCATCATCAATAACTTTACTAAAGCAGTTTGAATTGATTGGTTTGGAGAGCTGTGATCCACTATCATTTGCTGCGTTGGGTGATAAAATCCCTCTGATCTCCTTCAACGTGCACTCATGTGCAGATAAACGAATGAGATGAAGTCCATTTCCAACTTAATTAAACCATATAGCGTAATAAGTTCTATGATCATGATGATTAATTAATTGAATTTTTAAGAATTATCATTTATTATTCCAGATATTCCCGATCTTTTCTAGCAATACCGATAGATCCAGCATCTGACTGGCAAATTGATGCAATACAATCACGATTTACTTGCAAAGCAATACCACTACAAGAAATTTTTGAAATGTTAATGAGGTTATTGTTGGTAAAGGTAGGTGAGGACAATTCATTACAAAAGTTTCTAAAGGGTCACATCATATCTGATCACCTGCATCAGTCTACAACTAAAGGACCGGATGGACTGGTACAATAGGGAACCTCCTACTCTTCTTGAAGTATGTACTGGGATCTGTAACAGGAGCTTTCGATTGCACGACGACGGTAGGACGTAGAATGTGATGATGTCACTAAAAGTCATCTGCACATGCGAGAACATTAAGTTCTTCTCGTCGCATGGATTCCAGGATGCAATTTGGCCAAATCTATGTATGCAGAGAACATAGCACGCCCGGTAGGACGGTCACACATGAGTGATTCCGATCTAGTGCCGTGTTGTCGAACAAAATGAAAGCTTCCTAATATGTGTTCTCTGGGTCCACAATTCAGAGTGCTTTTTCCAAGAATGTCTAGCAACTTGAGATTTCAACCTGCGCCGATGATATAAGGCCGCAGGTAGCGGTGTCCCTGCTATATCACTCGACTACTCAACTCACTTCCTTACCACATCAGTCCGAAGAAAGTCCCCTATCCGAGTATTAACTGGGTCCACTGCCTCTTAACTTTGGTTATCTGACGAGTACCTGCGTTTAAATGCTGAAGTTCCGTGAACATAAATGTGCGAGAAAGCAGGAAAGTACAGATTAAACATTATTTTTGAAGTCTTCTTTGGAACGTAGATCTCCCATCAAAGGCTACTTCCATATTCCTTTGCATTAATTTGTGATGAATTATTATTATATTCATTTATACTTTTGTAATAATTTTTAAAAAAATAATAATTTATTCATTCACGTATTCATATAAGAATGAAATAATGAATGATAAAGAAAAGATATAGGTATATAACATACAACATATCAGAATGGAGTTCTGATATTTTCTCTAAAATGGCTTAAACATCTGTATTTACTTGTTGTTTAAGGCAATGCATTGTTGTTGAGGATCTATGCTTCTTCGACTTACAACTTAGTTTTCGCTCCAATCTACTGTAACTAAACCTTACACGATATAGTGAACTATGGAAAGGCCCGTGGACCAGGGAACAGTTAATTTAACTGTTCCCTGGTGGGACACAGTGTAGGAGACTAAACTGATGATAGAAGTTAAGATACATAAATATTGGCTGTTTTTACTTCTATTAAACAGAACATGTAATAATATATTTCATTCAGTATACTTTTTGCACATACCTTTTAATTGGTTAGTAATGAATTTTAAGATCTTCGTAGTAAAATGTTTGTAAATCAGCAAAATTTAGATTAATATAATTGAACAAAATCAATGTTTTAATTCAATATTTAAAGGTTTTGTAATATCAATCATAGTAAATCGAGCAATAACTTTAATAGTCATATACTATTTTAACCAACTTCACTCATCACGGATACTTGGTTTACTGTTGTATGTGTTGTACCCCCTCCCCCCAAACTACTGTACGTGATTCCTATGCTGTTTTGCTTCTTAAAAATTTGTGGACCATCATTATTACCGGTATATCATCAGTCTTTATCATAGACTGTCATAGAGATTTGGCATGTGCTTCATGGCTGAAATTATATAGTAAAAGCATAGTCCCAGCTAAATATTTTATCAGTAGTTCTGTATATATCTTTAATTGCTTTCATTCCAAAGATATTTTTTATTGTTATTTAAGATTTGATAATTCAACAGGGCCAGTATATCTACTAGTAACTGTACTACAGTGTACAGTATGATGTCCTTAAAAAATAAACTTAGTTACCAGTGCTTTTATTATTTCTAAATCTCTCAGATTTTGTGCTAAATATAATCAAAGTACCTTGGTTACGTTAACCACAAATACACCGCTATAAATAATAAATCGTAATTCCAATACCATCTGTTGTAGTGTTAAGGTCATTACAAAAGGAAGGAGTTAACTAAGACATAAAATTAGTTGATCTTACAGAGACTTTGGTACCAAGGAAACTTTAAAAGACGCACAGTATATAGTGCTACAGTAACAATATGAAACTTAGTAATTTGTTCATGTACAGACTGGCATTGTGACACAGAAAAACTAATGTTGGTTTTTTTTTCCTTTTTAAAACTGCTATTTGGATTAAATAATCATCATTATTAGAAAACATTCTTCAATAAAATAATAAATAACTTGTTTCATTCAAACTACCATTGCTTTAAAACAAATACTTATAATATAATATAATGTGTTAACTGCCACACTACAGATGTCGATATATTAGCAGTCAGTTATGGGTTGTACTATGATTACCTTGTAGGCTACTTAATAGTTTCTGTACTCATATCAGTATTTTGTTATTTTCTTGAATACTTTAATGTTTTAGTATCATCTTCATGAGCATCGGAAACATGTAATAAGAAATTTGAACTACTATTAGCAGTGCACTTCTGTAAAAGTGCAATTCATTGGGTGTAATCAGTGCTTTATTACAGTAAATAAATTCTTTTATAAAACAGACCTACAAATACAATACAGTGCAATAAGCCATGCATAAGAATGCTGTTTCTAATCCTGGTTAACCTTGCACAATAAAATTACAGTACTATAATAAAGCTCACTGAACCCAATCTTGTTGGATTTATGTTATCCAGGTTTTAGATCTAGTTCAATTATTATTTATCAATACAGTAATATTGTATTATACTTAGTTTTGTAAATAAAAAATTAAAACAAATCACTCTGCAAATTCTGCTTCCTAAAAAATGTACTTACCTTCTTTAGGCCTCTGCCTCTCATCATGTTCACATTAGAAGATAGTTAAATTACGATGTAGAAAAAGATCACCTGACAATATTTCTCTAATAAGAATCATACAAATGACAAAACTGGTATCACAAATAATAGCCTTTTCTGATACAATGAGTGTAGTCAATTTTAAAGCATCCTATGTTAACAGAGCCAGCAATATAGATGAAAGTATAAAATTCAGTAATCTTATCCGTAATAGGTATGCCAGCGAGACCACAACAATAATTAGCTCCAGTTCACAATTAGGTTAAATGTACTATCCGAAAATACTGCGAGAAAAAAACACAACATTGCGACCTAAAAAATATACACTGTAGATATCTCATTAAAGAGAAAGAATAATGTCCGTGTCTCTTGTAGTATGCAAGTTCAGTAGTTTAGTGACATGAGTAATGTAGATATAACCAGAACCACAGATTGTATGATCGGCTTGGATCAATGGGAATATCTATGGACCAATGAGAAGCAAGATCTGGCCTGGTAGCAAACAAACTAAATGACTGTGAAGGCACATGCTTGCAGTGCTTTCGTCTTCCTGGCTGCAGGTTAATCAACCGTGCAGTAATTGACAACCTGCTTGGGTCAATTAGATTCTGTACATAAAAAAAGATTGCTCATAGGGACCAGAAAAATAATAGACTCTAAAATGCGGGTATTATAGTACACAAAAATATTGACATTAATCAACATAAATGGACATAAACTTTGAAAACCAACAGTACTGGGCATCAACATAATGGCCACATAAAATAATCAGATAATGAACATCAACATAGTTAATATCAACATAATAGGTAACATTAAAAAATACAGTGCGCATAAACATGGTGCACAAAAAATTGTATTAAAGCCCCATTCCCCGCAAAATTTCACTAAAAAAAAAAAAGATTTTTTTTTAAAGAAAAAATGCATATGCATTAAACCAGGGAAAAATATTGGTATATATTTCAGTTTTACCCAAAAGGATAAAATGAATGAGAAATATTTTTATCTATTCTTTCTTTATACTGAATAATACACTTTCAATACATAGTACTGATTTCCAAAGTGTTCAGTTCTTAACTACAAAAACTTTAAAAGCAGATATATACACATTGTAGCCAAAAACTTTACAAATCTAAAAATATATTTAAAGGGAACATTGGAAGAAACTTAAGAAAATAAAATATTTAAAATAAATATGGATATGCAAGTTAAGAGAAAATCAGGTTAAATTAAGATGGTATTATTGAGGATTTGAAATGAAATGCTTTTATATGTAAAGATGTTTAGTATAGGAGAGCCACTTGATAGCGCTAGTACACTTTTGGCTGTCCTCAGGCAATGAACATCTCGTTTGTTGTTTGTTTTGTCTTGTTCTGCTTTTACCTAGATATTGAATAAATGAAATGAAATGAAAATTTGAAAGTGTCATAGATTTAAAGTTGGTTTTAGTATGATCCAGGAGTTTATTCCATAATTCCAATGAGAAATAGAGACTATTTCTCATAAGAGATTACAAATTTCTCAACGAATTCTTCATTATTAGGCAAATTCAGAGGTTTTAGAATGCATCCGCTGAAATGCTCTCGCTTTTGTTATACTTCATACAGTCAATAAAGTGTGCCCTCACTAATGAGATTAGTTTTTGTACTTCGCATCTTGCACACTGCGGTCAATCAAGTAGGCCCAAGATATGTTTGTTTACTTGTCAAAAATCAGAATCCTTTTTTTAACAAATTTTAAATACTTTCAATGATATTTCACAAGTGTCAATACTAGCAACGGAAAATATCATGTCGGCTGGTTTATGTCTGATAACAGAACCTAAATCAAGGTAAGGCTGGACCTAGCCTAGCCTTACCTCAATTACATTTCTTTGCAAGACGTATCGCAAAATCAAACATAAAACTTCATCCGCATTTATTTTTTGTTTGGAACACAAGAAATCAAATTTCTTATTTTACATTTTTTTCATCTTTAGGAATGTCTAAATTAAGTTAAACTAACAATTTAATATTGTATTTACAAATCTTTATAACATATATAAAAAATCAGATTTTTCTAAACAACTGAAATTTTGCCGGGAATGGTGCTTTAATAGTAGACATTAAAGAAAAAAATGGAAATTAACATAGTGGACATCAACTCTAGTAACTTATATATTGTAAAGAAAGAAAATTGCATACTATACTATTTATATTTTGCTGACATATTTTGTATCACAACTTTATGGACAATAACACAGTCAAAAACTGTAGTGTTTTTGAATTAGTATGGCTTTCACAATTAAAATATGAAAGAGTTCAGTGAAAGATGTAGCCACTTGAAAACTATCGGAGAAGGGCAAAGACCAGTGGCACAAGAAGAAAAAGATGACATACGACAAAGGAAGATAGTAGGAGAATAACTGAGGCCCTATGCATTAAAATTTAAGTAGACAAAGAATTGACTAATTGATTGATTAATAAGACTGGTAGATAATAGAAATACTGTAGATAATAGAATTATTTGTACATAATGCTCCAGTGTATGAAAACAGAACTGCAAGATTTTATTTCTGTCGATTTATGTGTTTATGGCATCTGTATTACTATATGTTGTGTCATTGAAAGTGGGGATTGATATTTACATATTAAAAGGAAAATGATTTATTCTTTGGCTATTGAGCCTGAATATATAATGAAATGACAGATATAAATAGAATAGCTACATTTGGTTCAATTGCTCGTTGATGGATTACATACACTGAGCAATCATTCACAATTGAGTAGTAGAAGTAAGAGATATCAAGCACCACAATGCTCAGCTCTGCATGAACATTCCTAGCTTGCTAATTCACTTCTAATGGCCATCCAAAAACCTAGTAGGCTTACTTAACCAGCGGTGATAATAATTACACAATTAATGAACCAGATGCAGATATAAAAATTGGATTTGAAGATAACCAACATGTTAGTATGTGGTGCTACTATAAAAGAGACTCGTAGTTATCATATAATGTAAAATTCCTGCGGAGATCAACATATGCGCATCTGTCATGAATTTACAGAGGAAGGATCCCTTCTCAAAGCATCCCACTTAAATAGACTTCCAACAAGAAGCGAATTATGACGACTGATTGACAAATTGTCTGTAGTTAGCATTGATTCTTTATTCCAACTGTGTTTATCATTTCTGATAGACTGACTATAATTTAATTGGTAGGATCTGCTGCTTCTTGGTCTCTGTCACTCAAGCTGAGAAATTCAGAAGTATAGGATCAATTTAAATTACAAATCATCAAACATTTTAATGATTAGTTGTGATGAATGAGTTTTTAAACCAGGTTGCATATTTACATATTTTTTAAATTAGCAATCCCACACGTGTGCATACAAATTAAGTGTGAGCTCGCTTTAATTACACCATTATGATTATACTAACCATAATTCCATATATAAATGTACATGTGTTATCAATTTACAAACTTTAATTTGAAAATTTTGATGCTCATTAAGTAGGTTATGCATGATGTAACTATGTTCCAATTTGAGTTGCAGCCCACGAATATCGCTTTGCCACCACACTGTAATGTATAACTCTAAAAAATAATTCCGACATTTAAAGTTCAATTACAAATGAATGAATGAAAAAAGAGAACAGTACTTGTCTTTTTTCTCTTGTAATATTTCTGTACATTATCATGGTTTTAGTAAATAATTCTTTTTTGTGAAGGTAAATTATAATGTCATGCCAGATAGTGTTATCATAGGACAATTGTACAAATAAAGAAATTAACCAATATTTTATAAAGAATAAAATTAAACTAGAAATTGCAAGTGAAGTGCTGCGAAGTACAACTGCATATAAATGTTCTTCGAACAAAATTATTTATGCGAGTTAAGTGAAAATAATGAATAATAAAAATATAACAAATAATATGAGACACGACACATTGTCTATATTAGAACACTTCTCATTGGGTAACAAAGTCGTAATTTTTCATTTTTGTTAATAAGTGTCTATAGTGGTGAATTATGGTTTAGGTTTTTTTTTAATAAAGTTTCAAAAATTTCTATGTATGTGGAAAATGTAGTTGATTACCAAAGGTTACAATTTTTATTTTGAAGACTGCATGGTCTAGGAAGTGTTCATTTTTTTATGGGGCAAATTTCCAAGGGCGGGTTTTCTAGGGGCGAGTTGACTGCCAAAGAGTGTTGCCAAAGTGCGAGCCAGCGTGTTATTTGATCACAAGTGCGAGACATCGCAAGTGTGAGCCAGCAAGCCATGACGTCACGACAATAGATACGAGAGGTTACTCGAGTTGTGCGAAGTATCGGCTGAGATTTGTGGAGTACAATTAAAAAAACAACTATAGGTCTAATAATGAATTATTGTGATGTTAAATAGACAATGTTAGCTATCAAGGAGCGATGTTGTTTTTCATTGGGACCTTCGTCCCTTCGAGGCTAGGCCTATACCATCCTAGCTAGTCTAGGCCTAGAGTAGGATAAGGCTAGCGCGACATGCGGACGTTGGTACGTGTTGGTTAGTCTACAAAAACGTCGCCTAAATTAATTGATTTTACCCGGCAGAACAAAAGAAGGAAACTCCACTTTTCAGTCGTCTTAGGCCCTTGTTTTTTGACAAACAATGACCTTTCAGAGGTCAAATTGCTGTCAAGAATATGAATTGGCTGCTTCGCAGCAAATATTCTATACCCATGCCACACTTCTGCATAGCTTACTCTTTAAAATCAGTTTCACAGATGCAAATACTGTAAAGATTTCTATTAGTCAAAAGGCAGAATTGACTTGAAATTGACTTGGGTTTCTTGCTAGATGGCCCCATCTGTGGAAACAACTGACTAATAATGCAAGGTTGCTTCAAAATGTCCATGCTTTAAAAATATTATACTTAATGAATCAAGAAAGGCGTAATATGATATGACCAATACAGTATTGTGCCTGTGTGAATAAATCAGACTAGACTGATTTTTTTTTTTTTTTTTTTTTTTTCTATTATTTTTTTTTTTTCAATTATGCTTTGTTGTTCTTCACTGCTTTCCATTTTTCATCTGTGCTTGTTGTTGTATTATTGTATAAGTATTTCAATGCACTGACTCATTTAAACTTTAAAATGGACTTGTTAAAAACACTGCACACGTGACCAAGCTTTCTATTTCAAAAAGAAGATATATTTGGTGGCTGCACAGCCGTTGTGGTACGCGCTTGGGCCATTGTGGCACAATGGCAGATGTAATGGTGCGGTATGGATAGGGCCTAGCCTAGGATGAAATAAATGTAAAAATCTGCGAAAACTTCGAGTGAATTTGCAATCAGTATTAACTCTGATGATTTTCTCAAGGTAGTATTATAATCATTTATTATACAATATAATCAAATGCCATTGAAATGTTTCAAGTGCATTCAGTTTCTGGTTGTTGATTCATCACAGTGGCTGAATCTT